AGTGTTGGAATCTAAGGGCAATCCACGTAAGAAAAAGGAAAAAAGAGAGTAGAAACGGAACTGCGTGCGGTTTTTTGAGGAAGAATTTCAGTGAATTTAAAAGGGTTACTGCAGTTTGTCGGGTTTGGGACTGGAATGGATCAATGGGGTCTGAAATTGGGAGTTGATTGGAATTCGAATATGAAACTCTTCTCGGATTCGCCATTTTTTCTTATCTAATTCAACATTTTTTGGTGCTTACCCTCTTCGATGAGACGCCCCGCTTTTTTGCTAGTGATTTTCAGTGTTAGCAGGTGGTTGAGGTTCTCCTGGAAAACTGAATTGTGCTGAGAGTAAAGCTCAGCCTCAGGCCAATCCCCTAAATCCGAATTTCAAAATTATGGATCTTTTTGTTTGGAACTCATAAAGCAAACGCTACTAAAAAGAATGTTTGGTCAGGCCTGAAAAAGTTGGTTTGGATAAAATTATTAGGTGTGTTTCATCCACATTATTTTGAAAAAATGTATTCTGAAATAGTAGATTGATAGAGAATTTATAATTGAAAAAGAAGGAAAAGTTATTGATGTGATAGAAAATATTATTTTATTGAAAAATGTGTGGTTGAAAATGAGTAGAAAAATGAAAATGAAAATTTTAATGTGTACCAAACAGGTGCTAAAAGAGGACTAATAAGTTTTACATGTGTGAATAATAAATGATTATTTATAAATATATGACTTAAATTATGGGTTTGTTTGAGCTCCATTTTTTTTTTAAATGCAAGTTGTAATAGTGTTATGATGGAGAATGTGTGGTTAAAAAATAAGGAAAAATTTTGAATTTTCATGTAATATTATTTTATTAAAAATGTAGTTGAAATGTGATTCAATCACTGTTCAAGAATACATTTTTATAGAAAAATAGGTGGGTTAATATTCGGCTTTGAGTAAAATTAAAAGTAACTCATTCAGTGAAAGTCGAACATTAATTTCAATTAGACATACATAATTATCTTTCATTTATTCTCCACATATTTTATGAAATCCGTTACTTATTATAAGTTACTAATAATTTTATTCAAAAGTGAAAAAGTAATTTTTTTATTTAAAATAACTATTACTTTAATGGCAAACCATATATACTTATTTTTATTTAGGGAATTTGCAGCTAAAGTTCCAAATCTTTAAAAATGCCCAATCCAATCTCCAAACTTTTTAATAATAGCATCTACATTCCGAACATTTTAATAAATGCGTGCCGAGACAACCTCCGAATGATTTCTATTTAAAAATCTATCCATTGACAAAAATCCAACATTTAACCCTTTTTAAGAATGACAAAAGGTTCTCTTCACATTTATTAATAAAAATAAAAATAATAATAATAAAGATAGATGGGTTGGTGCGACAAATCGAGCTAGAATATTTGAAAATGAACCAGCTCATGCTCGATTCACCCATAGGCGAGCGAAAATTAACTCGCGTGGTGGATCAAATAGAGCAAGACTCGACAAAGAACAAATCGAATAGTTCGACTCTTTCTCACTTAACATCAATGGCTCTATTAACTATTGAGTACTACATAGAATTGCATGGGACCAGTGAGACGGTTGATATCTAATTTTCATTCACCCCTATAATTTCATTTTATTTTTCCTTTTTTTTTTCTTTTTGTCCTGTATTTCTCAACCCCAAAGGGATTTCTCCCCCCTCTCTCCCGACAAAACACGGGGACTCATCTTTCGGGGGTTATATTTCAATCACCCTTCTCAAAAATCCCCTAAGCTGAAAATACACTGCTTCTCTGTAAACTAAACATTCCCTTTTCCCAACTTTACAAACACATATCGTAGGTATAAATACAGATTAACCTGTTATTTTGCGTAAATTTATGTTTTTTTTATATTGTTAATTTATCTTTTATTGCTGTCTTGAAAATACATCTCTATGGGAGTGTTTCAAGTGGAGGTAAAGGTTCCAGTTTATTTTTTCCTTAAATGGGGGTTTTGTGGGTGAATTATTTATTTACTATTAGTTGTTTACTGCGGGTGCTGGATTTTTTTTTATTTTAATTTTTTTTGCTACACATTTCTTGAGTATGTGATAAAAGAGTGAATTTGAGGTAAAAATAATATATTGGAATATAGATGTGTGTGTATGTATAAATTATGAGATTTACGTATTCGGAAATATGAGAATAATGTATGCATATTAACAGATGTGTGTGAAGATGTGTTTCTCATTCAACTGTTTTTTGAAATTACTATTACTAAAACTTAAATGTCTTTTGAGGAATAAATATGTATTGAAATTTTTTTGTTAGTACTCACTAGTTTATATACAGTGGGATGTATTTGAATGGTTGAAACGCTAGTGATTATTTAGCCATCAGTATTAATGTAATGGAAACTCTAATGGATTATTTATTGAATATCAATACTGTTAAGAAAAGAAAAGAATGAATCCTTTGGGGAAAGAGTGGATGGTGTATCATAATTTTGGGTATCTGATTATATGTCGGGTATTATTGCTGTGTGCATCAGTCTATTGTGTAATTAATAGCGATGAGTAATCTTGTTAGTTTTATTATGCTTGACCTTTTCAATCGATGTGATTTTTTACTTTTTATTCACTAATGACAGAAGTAAACATATTAATTGTGCAAGAGACGTGCATTTGAACCGTTGAGAGTTAATTGAAGATGTTGGCTATTGAAATTAACAACACTTGCAATGTTGCCCTTTCAAGCACTAAAATAATGCCGATGTCTTCTAGTATATCCTTTAACACTTCTAAACCTCACGTATGAATAGACCAACAATATCCTCAATAAGAGATAAATGTTCAAAGGACATTAAACGGTGTGATACTACAATCCCAATGATGAGCACGAGCGACACAAGCTCTGCACATGGGTTGCATTATTGAGGAAATTGTTTGTTATTATTGTTTAGAAGACTTCTGATTAGTATGTAGTTATTGGAATTTGTTGAATCACTATATCCCATACTCTGTAACATGTTTGAGCAATCAATATAGACGATTCCAGAACCAAAAGCGCTAACATAAGGCAAAAAATTATTTAAGTAGTTGACCTTGAGTTTATTGGAATAAGACTTGGCTTGTTGGTGTTAAATCTTTATTGAGTTTATCATTGAGAAGACTAGAAAAAGACGCTCTGGAAAAGATTGCACCGGTGTTGTGACAACGGCTATCTGAACTACCGATTTACTGTCAATGTACCCTTTCATTAAAAAGCTTAATCTTGCTGAATGTTTTTAAATAATAAAGACAAATAATTTTGTGTTATTGGCTTCAAGTTTTGTCCCGCTTGACTGTGAAGTTGGACACTACTGACTCTTCATGATGCATGAAAATAATTATTTCATGTAATTGACGAACCAGCACATACAAAGAAGAAAATTTGGCAGGTTGCATTTTGGATACCTGTTGTGTTTTATGACTTCATAGATCGTTTAGAATGTTACTTATTGTGGGATGTGGTTCTGCACGAGGAGTTCCCTTATCACTGTGCAGTTGGAACTGAATCTGTTATCTTGAAAGCTTTAACCACTCTTTGGGACTTTGTATGTAAAATATTTCTTAATTGAGTTAATTCCTTGAATGCATGAATAAAAGTTAAAGTGCGAGTTGTAATAATTTTTTCTTTTTTACAGGTTTTAAATTCTCTACAAACAAGTACTGAAGGAATTTAAGTGGATGGTTAAAGTATTGGATTGTATTGGGAATCAGTAAACGTACTCAGACTCTTTGAATCAGTTTTTAGCATAAATTGTAAGACATCTAATTGCTTAGATGTCATGCAGAAACTCGACAGCACGTTCTTTGCACGTGTCATGTACCAGCCTCTAACACAGCATAAACGAACTATTTCCCTAAGCCCTATTCAATCTCTTCCTCTTTTTCTCCTTTTTGGTCAAGATAGTCTCTTCAGCAGACCATTTCGGCAAGAAATCCATATTGTTATCCAGAAGTTGCATGGAAAATCTAAAAGATGTATCATTCTCTTTTTAGCATTATGCTACCCAATTTGTTAACAAAATCATTTGTTGTTGTCAGCCTTTTTTGTTAAAGAATTCAAGGGAGCTGTGGAAAGTGGCATTGAAGTGCCGGAAAATTGATTTCATTATTTAGAGGTTCCTTATTTTCAGCAAAATACTTCATAAAAGTAAAGAGTTTTCTTTGTTCTTTAATAACTTAATTTTTTATGGGAATGGCGAAATGCCTATATTTCCAGCAGCACTGCCTAAATCTTCTATCTTGACTGCACAGATCTGCTCTTTGGATACCGCGTTTTGAAATCTCTGGTTGGTTGGTAAGGTCTGAATCTCTAATCTGACCTACGTAGATCTACATAGTTGGGCAACGGGTTTTGAAAAATTTGATTGATTAATGCTTGAAGAACCAATCTGGACAGAAATGCCGACGTTATTAGAAAAATAATGGGATTAGGTATTTAAACCAAGAACCTGGCTGTTTTGGTCCGTTTCTCTGTCTTAAGTAAATAACCGAAATTTAATTTGGTTTCCCCAGAATTTGTGTGTATTTGTTTTTTTGCTTCCCTAAATGTGGCAACTCTAGTTGATAGCGGTACCTGCATTGAATGCAACACCCCATCTTCAAACTTTTGAGTAGGGGTGGGCAAAATTCACTTGTACTCGCAACCGCCCGAACCGGCTGGTTTAGCACTAGTTCTATAGGAAAATTATTTGGTTTTGGTACTTTACAATCCCTCTGACCCGCCAATCTGGAATTGAACCTTCAACATTTCCAACAGCTGGCTAAGGAAATCGAAGTGATTAGAACAGAACTGAGTGTATGATGGCTAAGGTTCTACAAAAGCTCGACTGAAAGGGGATAGGGAGGAAAATTCGGCGGTTGGGACAGAGAACCTACAGTTCGGTCTGGTCCTTGGTGCTTAATGGGAAACCGAAAAGTATTTCGGTCCTGCCAGTTTGTTTTTCGGTTTTCTTGTCTTTTTAAACTTTGCCCTAAGTTCCTAATCTGAACATCTTTCTCTCATTCACTAAATACTCTTGCAGCGCCACCTCCACTCTTCTCTCAAGGTGGAAGCCCTAATTCCATATCTAAACCTATACAATCTCATAAACTATCTACAAATTCGTATCCTAGTGCAAACCCCAATTGCTAAATAATTTTGTAGAAGAATTTTTCCTTATTAGTTTAAGGCAGATTTTTATTTTTCTCAAAATCAGAACATTAAGGGCTGTTCTCTTTGTGTTTCAGTTTTATGTTTTGAGTGTCCATTTTAAGATTGTTGAAAATGTGTTCTTTTTGACATTTTAAAAAATTGTTTTGAAAATACCCAAAACGTTTTTTGAAAATTTTGGCTTGATTATTTGTAAATTTTTAACTTGTTTTAAAAAACGCGTTTTCGAAAATAGGAAAAAGAACATATTTTCACTGTTTTGGAAAATCGAAGACAGAAAACGGCTTGAAAATGATAAAAAGAATCTCTGACAATTAATCAGTTTCAGCCTTCACTAGTAACCAGTTGGTCCGGTTGGAATTGTTTGTTGCAGGTGCTGCTTGAGATATACCAGATTCTGTTTTCTAATTTCTTGAATAAGGTTCTAAGTTACTGCTTTATTTTCTCTGACAATTATTTACAATTTTTGCATCATATTAGTCAACTTTCATTGCCCTTTGTGCGCCAACTAGTGATTGCTGTTATTATTATTATTTTTTGCCTACATATAAATTAGTTATTGCTGCATGAGTGCATATTATCAATATCATTACTTCTTGAAGGCCAAATTTCATCCTGTTTTCCCAATTTTCTTATGAACGAGAAGGTTACGTTGATTTATTAGGTTTAAATGTCAAGGCATGTTATATTTGAAAACAAGAGCGTTTGGTGAATAACTACTGTGCACGCATTTAACACGCTGGAAAAAAAATCTGAATTTTTAAGTAAAATTATTTGGGCCGTGTCACGTAGCCATCAATGCCACTGTTTGACAACTATTATTTGAAAAAATTTTATTCTATATACTCATTTTCAATTATACATTTACACAATAAAATATACTGCACATAAACTCAAAAAAATTTCGTACTTTTTAATCACACATTCTCCTAAAAATCACTATTTAAAACATTTTTTCCCCAATAATGGTTGTCAAACAAGGGCTAAATGATAATTGACACGTGAACTTCCTGTTAATTTGACTACTGGGACCGATGACCGTGACTAACTTTGAAACCAATAGAAAGTTTGGTGACCGTTTTGGGACAAAACAAAGTTTGGTGGCTTTGATGAAATTTCTCTATAAGTTACAATGACCAGCTATGATATTAACACAAACTACTATGGTACAATGTAAGGAATGTGTTTATGAAAGAAACAACTAGTTGTATTTTACATGCAAATGTTCGTTGATCAATGTGGATTTCAGTTGAACTTCACGGATGATTCTTGATTATAGTCACGTTTAGTTCCGCATGAAGTATTGATCATGTGAATACCTCCCACTTATAAATCTTCTTCTGCACCTTAGATATCATGTGGATTACATTTTTACTGATCAAAAGAAAGATATAATTTTAGTGTATTATCTTCAAACCTCCCCCCTACTTGATGCCCTCTTCTTTTTATCTGTTTTTTGGGTATTTTATTGTTTTTGATCTACTGCAGGCACTTTTAGACTTAGCAGGATGGGTGATGACAAATTTGATGAAAAGTTATTGACTGAGAAACTCTCTAAACTCAATAGTTCTCAGCAAAGCATAGAGTGTATCCTTTATATAGGAGAGTAATGGCAATTACTAATGCTATGTTTTCGAAATTGTGGTGATAAAAACATACTATGTACATGTTAACTTTCTGTTTTATTATTATTATATGGTCAACAGTTCATGGCAGAGCATAGTAAAACCTTTCTACAGGAGAATAATAACGATCTTAGAGTTTTTGTTTTTGATATCCTTATGTCATAATACATAATAAGTACATCTAACTTTCTATGTTTAGTGCTATTATGTGGTCATACTTGGGCTGCATGCATGATTTCCATTTCTTTGTGTAATGTTACAAAGTATGATCGTGATGTATTACTTGCTGTATCCTTTGAATGAATGCAGTTATTAAATGGTCGGCAGAAAGATAGTAAAAAAATCCATTGTACTCGCTTACACATGATTCTGAAATGCTCTTTGTATTTGATGGTTGTAATACCATATTAGTACCTTATAAAATAGTGAATCCAGATCATTGTTTTCCGTTTAGACTAACTGCTGTTCATGTGTTGTCTTTCTAAGGGTTTTGTTTAATGTGCCTCTTGAGTTACTTTCTGAGGCTAGTTTTTGCTTGAGAAGACAGCAACTATCATGGCAGCGAAAAATATCAATTCTCATATGACCTTCCTCCCCTAACCAAAAGAGAAAAAGGGAAAATACATTTGTCTTTGCAAACTTAAGAAACTCGGTAATGTGTCTTACAGTTGATACTGCTAATGTTAAATACAGAATTCAATAATAGAAACATTACAAGAACAGGAAGGAGGCAATTTTGCTTTATTTCTGGTCTTCATCCTTGTTTACTTTTCTTTCTTTTGTCTGGTGTTTGTCTTCTTCTTCTTCTTTTTTTTTTTTAAATCTGGGGCTTTGCGTCATAGCACTTGAATTGGTACTTCAATTCAGCTCTGTCACGTGTGGATCCAATTACGAGACCGAACTTCTGTTTCTTTTCTTCATCATGAATTTGCCTATAGTTATTGGATGCAATAAATATGATAACCGATTCCTAACACTTCATTTTGTTTCCAATTTGGTCACCTAGTCTAATTCAGTCCCATTTGATGATGTGGCCCTCCATTCCTAATGTCTATTCCCACAAGTTCAGAGGTTGGGTACATTGGAAGCCAGAACTAAACCTAAAACATTATATACGAATATCATCAGCTGCGCCGCATCTCCATCTCTCTCTTGTTATGGTTGGACTAAGTTGGTTTTTGACTTGTGCCTGACTTGTGCATTGTATATTCTTATGTTTTTTCCTTTATTTGGTCACCTAGTGTAATTCCTTCCCATTTGATGATGTGGTCCTCTATTCCTAACGTCTATTCCATTTGCACAAGTTCAGAGGTGGGTACATAAGAAACCAGAATTAAAACTAAAACATTATATATGACATTTCATCAGCTGTGCAGCATCTCTGCTCTCTCTCTCTCTCTCTCTCTCGTTATGCTTAGACTAAGTTGTTTTTGGACTTGTGCCTGACTTGTGCATTTCATATTCTTCTCTTTTTTCCTTTATTTGGTCACCTAGTCTAATTCCATCCCATTTGATGATGTGGCCCTCTATTCCTAACGTCTATTCCCATTTACACAAGTTCAGAGGTGGGTACATTGGAAGTCAGAATCAACCCTAAAACATTATATATGACATTTCGTCAGCCGCATCTCTATCTCTATCTCTCTCTCTCATTATGGTTAGACTAAATTGGTTTTTTACTTGTGCCTGACTTGTGCGTTGCATATTCTTCTCTTTTTTCCTTCATTTTTCTGGAAGAGAAAGGGGTGAAGGGAGTATAGAACTATAGTGCATCTCTTCAATGAACTCCGCTTCCTTCAGTACAATTAATATTTGCCTGAGGACAGAATTGTGACAAGAGCAGTCAGTCAAAAAGACAAACAAGAATGCATAGCTGAGAACAACTTCATCATTCATGGAATCGAAATTTGTTAGTATTTTTCAATATTGAAGTATCTTTTGTCTGAACTTGGTACTTTTGTTTATTTGTTTCCACTCTATAGTGTAGTTCTCTTTAAACATCCTTTCAGCTCTATCTCGGTGGTGCATATCTCACCGCAAAAAGGCCAAGCAAGTTGTTGAAACTTGGGAGAAACTATTTAAATCTGCACAAAGGGAGCAACAAATTTCTTTTTTATATTTAGCAAATGACATACTGCAAAATAGCAGGCGCAAGGGCAGTGAATTTGTAAATGAATTCTGGAAGATCCTTCCGGCAGCTCTGAAGAGTGTTTACGATCTTGGCCATGAAAACTGCAGGAAGGTTGCTTCCAGACTGGTAAGTTCATTCACAACACACACCCTTAGGCAATATCACAAACATTTCATGTATAATTGTCTGGAACTTGAAAAAGAAACAAATGTGTCGACTCCTATATTATATTGACTCTAAATTTGTTTGTATATGTATAGTTTTGAAATTATGATATGGAATGTGCTATTTCCAATATTTCTATAGCAGATTTTGAATCCACCTCCTCCTCCCACTCCCCCTAACCAAACAAAAAAAAAAAAGGAAAGAAAAGAAAAGAAAGAAAAAAATCTTCTTTCCGGGAGTGATTCTAGTCCTATAATATCTGATTAAATTTTATATGGGAGTGGATTTCCTTGTGTATGGTTGGATAACCAGATAATTACACTATAAAATTGTTTCCTTTTTCTAATTACCATTCTAATGAATCTTATGCTGTTTGCGTGGTTCTCTTTCGAATTTGATAGACATTTTTTTGGAGGTTTAAGGTTGTGTTAACTCAACTAAGATCTACTCATTTTGTGGAAGTTCAGGCAAGATGATAACAAATTATTTGGCATTTTGATGCTAGAAAGAGCGTATCTTTTACTTTAAACTTAATTCTAGCTGTTAGAGATAAAATTAATCTTATAGGTTAAAGTCATAAGAGTTTGGATTACAGAGCATTGGAAATTCTCAAGAATAATCCTACAGACCAGTAGGGCCTTGATACCTTTTTATGGTCTTTGCATCAATTATAGGTTTTATCTTACTGTTATTTCCTTATGATGTATGTGTTTCCATAACTAATACATCATTCTCAGTATGTACCTGTAGATACACTACTTGGGCACATTGTCTGATTGTCTTTCCTAGAGTCGATGGAATTGTGATTCTAGTTTGAATTATTTGTCTCCAATCAGTTCAGATATATGTAATAGATCTTTATAAACTTATCACGTTGTAGGTATTCTTCCTTCGCTATAAGAGCTTCCAGTTTTACATGAAATGGTAGATTTCGCTGTTAGGGGCAAAAATTTTCATTGAGTTGTATGGATATTTCATTCATCCCCATTCCTATTATTGAATCTTGTATAATTTGTTCTTATCTCCTGATGATTGCCATCTCCTGTTTTCTGTCCTTTGAATTTTGCTTTTTGGTGTCTGGGGTGCTCTTTATATTAGGTTAATATATGGGAAGAAAGAAAAGTTTTTGGATCGAGGGGTCAAAATCTTAAAAATGAAATCTTGGGCAAGAAGACTCCTGTCACTGTTAGCAATGGAAAGAATTCAAATCCTATCAAGGTTGTGAAGAGAGATAGCAACTCATTAAGAATTGTAAGTATAATCCACAACTTTATGGCTGAAAATTGTTCTAATCACAGTAATTTTAATGCGGATTATCTCCTTATTATCAAATTCAGAAACTTGCTGTTGGGGGTATGCCAGAAAAAATCTTAACTGCATTCCATCTGGTACACGATGAAGATGTCAATGAAGAAGCAGCCTTAAACCAGTGTAGAACTGCAGTTTGTCACGTTCAAGAGATGGAGAAAGACGTTGAAAATATTTCTTCTCAAGGTATGATAAGATACTCTCCTCTAGAATTTATCTAATGGTGTCTAAGATAATGTCTTGATGGGATTTTTTTCTCTTTCATACCCCCGCCCCAAAAAAAAAATATAATAATAAAATAAATAAATAATGCATATAATTGAAAGAGCGATACCTTGTTCTTGTTTAATGATCTGCAAGTTAGATAAACATTCTCTAAATCTGTGGATGATTTACATGCTTTTTAGATATTGATCTTTAACCTTCGCCTGTTTTTCCAGGAAATCTGCAGGGTTCTGATTTGGTGGATAAGATACAGGAACAGGAAAACACACTTCAACAGTGTGTTAGACAACTTGAAAATGCTGAAGCAATCAGAGTTGCACTGGTTTCCCTGCTTAAAGAAGCACTTGAGGATGAAGTACGATTTTATTTTTGTAATTCCCATGTCTGCAATTATGACTTGTAACACTTTTCAAAGTCTGAAACTCCGGCTTTTCAGGAATCAAAACTGGTGCTGATACAGAGTGAGCTACATGTAAGGATCTCTGTTTTCTCTCTGGCACATGTTATCAGAAAACCCATTGCAAATACCTGCTGTTTAAATTGTTTTTTTGGGAATGGTTGAAATATTTCCCAACTGTAGGAAATCTTCTGGCTTCTTTTCCCCTGTGCAGTTTCCGTGCCATGCACAGTCTGTGCAGTTTCCGTGACACGCACACTCTGTGCAGTTTCCATGCCGCTTACACCAACATACCCACCTATAAAACTGTCCTTTTCACAGATTTTGTATTACTTTTTTGGTGTGGTGGGGGATAATCTGATAAAAATTTGGCTTGAAAGTAGTGTTTTGTTGATGTTCCTTTAAAAAATTACAAAAGTATTACAACAAGGATTCTGGAGTGGCAACTTTATACTCAAAGGTGAGGTGCTAGTAGCTGAACTTTAAGTGAAAATAGTTGCAAGGACTTAACCCCATTTTTTATGTAGAAGCCAAATGGGACAAGTAAAGGAAGTGCATAAGTTTTCTCTGAGTGTGTTTCTTCACATTGGGCATGCAATTATCTTTTCTAAGAAAAGGTTGCATTTAGCTTCTATTCAAAGACTTCACGAGGTATTTTCCCTCCAAAATTCTTTTTTTGGCCCACTTGTTACCCTTTCATTCTTTCCTTTCCACTTTCTGTGCAACCAAGCAAAAGAAAAGAATTGTGTTCTCCTTCAAAATCAAATCGATTAAAAAGTTACATGTATTAAGGTTTCTACTACTTGGGACCATTTACACAACCTATGAGAAATTCTAGAACTAACATACAACAATAATAAGCCAAGCGTTACTCCTCATAAACTTGGAGTAGGCTACACTTTAATGATATGAAATGTTTTGCAACTATATGTAACCGTGTTAATTTTAATTTAATGTAGGACAATCCTATTGTAAATAGGATTAAGATTAGATATTGATAATAAGATTTCTAGTTGTAATAAGTTATCTTTTTATTCTAATATTAATTAGAATATGATTTCTAATTCCTTTAAGATTAGGATTTTATTAGTTTCTTTATTTTAGTTTCCTTACATTAATAGGATTAGGAAATAATTTTACGTACGCTTTTCAACAACAAATAAATTATTATTTAATATATACAAGACATGATTGTTTAAATATCATTCTTATTTATTACATAATTCTTATTACAAGAATTTCATAATGCTTCTGCACCATAATTTTAGCCCGCATCTCCCTATTTTAACCTATTACATTAGGATCACACTGCTCTTGTAAATGACAGCTTTCTATCTATGCAAGATATATTCTGACCATCTAAGCTGTTTTTCTCTTAACTTATATTCAATTGGTGTTACATTTGCTGTTCGGTGTACTTCATCATTTATTATTTTATCCATTGCAATATGATCATGACATCATTGTTTCTGCTATAGTGCTATGTCTTAACTGACATTTGGTCCGTTAATGGCCCACGTCTGCACCGTGAAGGATAGGTAGTCTAATGACTGTGTCTAGAATTTGCTTTTATCCTTGGTAGGTATCTTTCCATCACGTAGAATCCTTATCATGCTTATCCATTTTGTCCAACCCGTTCTAATCCTTAAGATTACATATTCTTCGAGTCTCTCTTTATTAATAAATAAGCCTAAATGATGTAGAACTTGACAGAAAATAAAAGAGAGGAGAAAATGTAAGGGAAGAAGAGAGAGAAAGATTAAGAATTGGAGGAAGAGGAAAATCCGATATACTCAATAATTATGTTCTACGTGAATTAAAAAAATGCAGGTTCCCTTTTAATGGAGCAAAGACTTTAAATCTAAGAGAACTTGTAATAAATAAATACTAATCAAAATTAACAAAATTCTAGTCATGCAAAACTGAAATCTAATCTAAATCTCTCTATCTTCAATCCTGTTTCTCCTGGAAATGACTTCTCCATCACTTCACCCTGAATGGAAAGAACTCGACTCGAGTGAGTTAAACTCCAAATAGTCTTCTAGCAATTTCAGGTCGAGACATTGGACCTCTTCCTCTGTGATCCATTTATCAAGGAAATTCTAATATCATCGTGTTGGACTTATTCTAAAATCTCTAAATTCTAATGAATTCTGTAGTTCTAACTTATGATTTATACCCCTATTAGTCTTATAAACTAAAACCGTGTCGTCAAAGCATGACATACACCATGGACCTCGTCTTGCATCCATGTCTGGAGCAAAAAGATGAGGACTTTATGCGGTACCTTGATGCAATCATATAGTGAGGAGAGTCTTTATTACCATTTCCACTAGATATCTTACTTGGGAATACTCCATTATAGGGGTTATATATATCCTCAATAATATTGATATGTCTAACAAATATTCCTTTTTTGTAGAACCTGCTATAGGATTTATGTGGGCTCCCTATCACATGCTTTTTTTTTATTTTTTTTCAGACATTTCAACTTAAATTAACAACTGTAACTTGATTTAGTTGCTGATATTAGCATTAGAGATTCAAGTCACGTGCTAGGATGCCTAACTCGTGCACATGTCCAGGAACTAGGCTCGAATGGTTGTTTTGGTGACTCCGAAGTGAGTGCCTACCAAATTCAAGGACTAAAAACTGTGGATGCACAACCTCATAAAGGAAACATCCGTTAATTCTTTGGAAGAAGCATATATCTGTTTAGAAGCAAAGTTAAATATATTCGTGGTAACTATATTTTCACTCTAGTTTAATCAGGTAACTAGACTTCAATTTTATTCAAACAGGAAACTACACTTTAATTTGATTTCAATCGGTCCATCTAATTCTCTCTTGTAACCAGATTGAAATTATATTAAGGTGTAATTACCCCATTGAACAAAATTTAAGTATACTTATCTGATTGACGGAGTGAAAGTATAGTTATCGCAAATGAAATTTACCCTTTAATATATTGGCAAAGAGCACAACTTATTACTAAAGATTTTTGGTCTGTAAATGGACAAGTCTGCTATGAGATCAAAAGTAGTTAGACAATAGACACATAATATATAGGGCAACGTATATGGAGATCATTTCTTCCAAAGCAATGTGATATGTATGTGTCTCTACTATGCTTTATAGCATGCTGACAAGATTCTTTATTGTTCAACCAATATTGGTAGTAACTTCTTTCTTGTAGTTTATGTTTACTCTCAATTTTTATACATACATGTGTAAATATTTAGTTAATGTTTTTAGTTCATACCACCACCCGGACGCTTGGAATATTTTTCCCTTGAAAGTACTCACTCTTATTATGCCGTTATATTAATAAATAATGTGGTTAACTATAAGAATGTCATTTCTTTTTCCAATAAAATAGTGGTCTTTTTATTTCTTTTGGAATGTCTATGCTTTACATAAGCTTTTTTGTTTATAGATGGTTAGTGAGTTTTTACGCTGATCAAGACAGTTGAGATGCTATTACACAGAACCAATGTTTTAAACTGCACTATTTAGGCACAACCAGCAAGATGACACAAGCTCAAATTTTACGATTTAAAGGTTTTTCTTCTTCATATATTGCTTCTACTGTCGTGGTTTTATAATCCGTTAGCTCTTTTCCAAAAAGGATCTCGAGGTTACGGGAGTTGGATACACTCTTCCCTTCAGTTTAATTGTAATCTGTAAACTGTAGTTTTGAAAGAACTCTGCTGTATACCTTGTACTCTTGATTTAATCTTTGTGTTGTTTCTTGGACAATATTAAGCTCCTGTTTGATGGCCATTATTTGGGAAAAACAATGTTTTTAATAGTGATTTTTTAGAAGAATGTGCGGTTAGAAAGTATGGTAAAGTTTTGGATTTACATGCAGAATATTTTATCGTGTGAATGTGTGGTTGAAAAGAGTGGGTAGAAAATAGAGTTTTCAAATAGTGGCCATCAAACAGCGGCTGATAGTTGATGTCAGTCACAGTCCTCGTGGTCTTCCTCAATATCTTCCGAGTATATTTTGTCATATTGTAAATTGTGAAGTTTTTACTTTGTTCATGGTTACATTAACTTGTTGGAGAACAATTTTATGTTCCACAAGTTTCTGCTGTTGACAATTTATTTGAGATGCAGGTTGCTCAGGGTCTAATCGAGCAAGCAGTGCATATGAGGCAGCAGCTGGCCCCTGGTTTTTCAGTTCCTACATCCACAAACCAACTTATGGAAGCCAACGCCCAGAGGATGGTTGAACCCAAATTCCTGGCTACCCAGTTGACAAACAATCTGCCAGCACCTCCACATTCGCACCCTTTAACACCATTTTCAATCTCTAATCTAAGTGAAGAGGAGAGCAAGAAGGCAACAGTAGCTGCTGTTGCTGCAAAACTTGCTGCTTCAACATCTTCTGCGCAGATGTTAACCTCAGTTCTCTCTTCCCTTGTAGCTGAAGAGGCTGCTTCAATGAGCAGTAGCTTCAAATCTGCCGGGTTTTCGAGTTTGCCTATTTTACCTCCTGAGAAAAGGCAGAAGATAGAGAAGCCTATTCCCTTCTCTGAAGTGGACAATTCCGAGACTGGTAATTCCATGTATTTTTCTACTACGCAGCAAGTAACAGCTAATATGCCACCAAACAACATGCCTTCTATAGCTCAAACTAACCAAATGCAAGCTCCATTCCTGCCACCTCCTCCACCTCTGCCACCACTTGCACCTCCATCTAATTCTCCTGCAAGTCAATTGGTCCAATCGGCAATAGTGGGGCCACCCTATGGGTATGGGGCTGGAAACTTGCTACCTCCATCTTTGTCTACAAACATTTCTATGGGCTTAGCCAGGCCTGGCCCTCCTCAGCAAGCACAGCCACAGCAGTTGCAGAACCACCAGCAGCAGCCACTGCCTCCAAATGCTGGGTACTATAGGCCTCCAGGTATTGGATTCTATGGGCAGAGTCATCAGACATCAACACCGCCCGTACCTAGACAGTGAGGTTCTTTTCGAAGATTCCGGATCCCGTGTCAGTTTTGTACATTAAATACATGTTTGGTAAAATAGTGGACAGTGTCCCTGCCAAACATGCTATAATAGGATAGTTATCTTTGGCATGAGAACTTTTTACATTTCCTATGTAATATACTGTTTTCACCTAAATCCTTCCCCAATCCTCCCATCCACACCTTTTTAGACTATGATTGGGTACTTTGCACCCAACACAATTAGGTAATTACAAATTATCATACTTGACTTATTCTCTCTCTCGCACCCAACACAATTAGGTAATTACAAATTATCATACTTGACTTATTCTCTCTCTCTCTCTCTCTCTCTCTCTCTCTCTCCCTGTGTGTGTGTATGTGTGTCCACATTGTTCAACTCATAATAGTGTAAAACCTTGGGTGTAAGTTTGGCACGGTAGATTAGATAGAGATGGATTTGATTATGGGAAGCTGTGCGTGGCAAAGTCTTTACCTTCAATTGCTCTGTTTTCTGTATAGATCAGTCACTGTTGCAGGAATCTATCAGAATTCTTCCTCTTGTAATGATCGCTGGATTCCGTTATTTTTCATTTCCTGCCAACCTCAAAATGTGAGAATTTTAGTCCCAGTTTGATGATCATTATTTTCACTCTTTTTTTTTTTAAATATTTATTTTCAACCACACATTCATATAATACAATATTTTGCACGTAAATTCAAATTTTTTTCTACTTTTTAACCACACATTATCCTAAAAATCATACATGTTTATCTTCAAAAAGAGAGAACCGATTAGAAACCTTTTCCACTCCCCCAGTTGAGTTAAGAAGGTATAGAAACAATGTAACAAGATGAAAATACTTTGTGCGTTTGTTTTGCCTTTCCGTGGAATGAGATGGTCTTGGTGTATACGTAGAGGAAATGGAGTTTGAATATCAACTTATCATGTATCTTGTCCTTGTCAATTGCTATGTCATTGTTTATTGTCACATCACAAACTTTTTGTAGAAGATTGTCGATTTGTATCCGTTAGGACTATATAGTGGTCAACTTAACATATTTACCATAGTGCCAAGTCTACTCGGTTGCCTTAAAAGAGTACGCTCCATAAAATATTAATGTATCATTGTCTATACGGTCTTAAAAGTTGAATGCATTTTTCTATTACGCATTGAGTAACACTATTTAGCACAACTGGTATTAAAGCACAAGTTTATGTGGCACTAATATGGCATTCAATGAAAAATATAATTAAATGAGTCACATAATTTCAACTTTCATTGAACATATCACATAACACCACTTATACTGGTGTTATAGCATCGTGTTAAATAACATTATTTTTACACATTTGGTATACTACTGATCATGAATTTTTTTGTTAAAATTCTCTCCTTTTGATGTTTCAAGCCTTATTTATCTTACATATCAAATATGTAGAGTTTTTAGCAAAAAAAAAAATCGAATCAAAGTTAGAAGCTAGAACATTGATTGCGTTAAATGTCATTTGCATGGCGTGTAACATTCGCTCGCATATGACAATATTTGCACTAAACATTTCTTCCGAAAGCTTAAATTCTTAAAGATTGACTATATTTTTGTATACCAAATTGACATGACCCGTCTAGAATCTTCTATGTAGACTCGAAATATGACGTGTGTCGATGATAATCGCTAACTAAATACACCTGACCCGCCACCAAGATTGATTGTGATTTATTAATAATTATACGACATACAAATGAATGTTAATCTAAAGATGAACATGTGCCAAAATAATGCTCAACTCAAATGATACAGACAAAGTACAAACTAAATGACATGTAGTGCTATTTCTGAAATCGACTCACTTTGTTTTAAATGTGACCAGTGAGTCAGTGACCTTATGTTGAGAGTCTTGAGGCGTCTGGTGTTGAGACGGAGAAAAATGTTGTCAGTTGTCGATGGATCGATAGATGGTGTCCGTAGGGGCTAAATTCTCTGGGCCCTTCAAGCATGCTTCTTTTTTGCAGATGAGTTGAGGAGAAAAAAGACAATTATCTGATAAATGGCAAATCTAGGTATTGAGAAAGACAAAGACTCGGAGCTTGAGATAAGTTGGGAGACAGAAAATGAAAAGAAAAAACTATTAAAAATTAGAAAAACAAAATATAAAAGTTTGTGGGATCAACTAACCTTACATGACTCCATGTAAATCTGCCAACGATAAGACTTTAACCCGTTTTCTTTTACTCCTTTCGTCTCATCACTACTTCTGAACTTTGTCCAAGTATGATACCGAAAGTAAGATAATACATACATACAAGAACAAAAACCTCTAATTTTCTCACGGAATATTTCCTACTTTCTTTTTGTATATTTTACTAAGTAACTAATATATGCCGGCTGTACATAAAACTCATGTATTAGAGTTAATTGTTTGAGTGGCCACTGAACTTTACCCATGGTCACGGCTTACCCATCGAACTTTAAGTTGCTTCCCAATAGCCATTGAACTTATATCCGTTTCACTAAAATGCCAACCGGATGGATTCCGTCCGTGAACTTGATGATGTGGCCGACGGGAAGATGACTTGGCCGTTAAAATTCCTAACCTATTGCACACGTGGAATAAAACCCCCCCAAACAGGCCCTTAAATTGGACTCAAATAGGAAACCCCGTTCATCCTCCTCAATTCGAAGCCCTAGGTTCTTGCCCCAAATCTCTCCACCCAAATCGTCGGAAATCCAAGCAATAGCGTTGCCCCAAATCCTTCCAACCCCTCCACCCCCGAACTCATTGTCCCTTGATTCAGCGGGCAGTTGTGCAAACGGACAGCAGTTAACTCAACCCAGCCGAATTTTTTCTCTTCGCAATTTCGAACTTCTGGACCTACTGCAGATGGATGACGTGCACACGGATGATGAAATTAAAGGTAAATTCTGCACAATGTACGTGTTTTTTGCTTCTTTGTTGCTGCAAATTGAGTTGTGGAGGTAAACGGATTATGGGCATTTTGAACATGTGCAATTCGTGAAAATTTTCAGTATGTTGCTGCAGCCATACCTCTCCACTTTTCAGTATTCAGCTGCAGCCATACTTTGAGTTTGTTGCTGCAGACATACCTCTCCAGTAGTTTTCAGTTTGTTGCTGCCGAAGTTTGATTAACATAGAAATGGCTGAATTTGAAAATTAACACTACAGTTTGATATAATTCCCCCCTCGGTAGTGTTAATTAACAATCCCCATTTACAGTTTGATTTCGTTTCTATGAGTTTGATGTAATTAACTCTTCCCTGTTTCTTAAATCAATGGTATGGTAATGGTTGGTTGTTCCTGTTTTTGTTGACCGTAGGTATGGTAATGTTTGCAGTTGAATGGTAATGTTTGTTCCCCCCTAGGTATGGTAATGTTTGTTCCTGTTCTTGTTGCCCGTCTATCATACAATATAATTTTTACTTTGAAATCTATGTGACAAGGCATTTGAGAAAGGGTTTCATCTCTATGCAATTTTCCGATAAACACATTCAACTGCAAAATGGCAGGGAGAAACAAGGGTATTTGTCATAGCTATAGGATGCGCGGGCACACATTGCCGGAATGCCCAACCAAGACACGATGTTGAGAATACGGATTGTTAAGTGGACCGATGATCCATTGTCGTCGCAAGAAACACCTTTGCAATTTGAAGGTGAGTCCAATGTTAAATCCAAGACGAAAGATCCGATAGAAGATTTGTCATCCATACTGAAGACAGCCGTTCAGTTAATACAAGAATAAGAATTGGAGATATCTATCAATATAACGATTCGTAAAGGAAAAGGAGCTACCGAGGACAATGGGAAAGGAAAAGGAAGAGTTCCATAAATTTCGTCCGACTATGTAATAGACGAATAACCAATATTTATGGGCAATAGTAGTTGTAGTACATGAAGGCATCGAGAATTCGATTTTGCGTTGTTGTAGTAAAAATGTTATTTTTCTCGATTGCATATGTTTCCAAAAATATTGGGTTTTTTCTTGTGCAATAATATTGAATGTATGGAATTAAACAATCCTTAGTAAAAAATAAATAATAGACCACATGTGAGCATTACTAAAGATGACCTGAGTATTCCAGTAACCTGTAACATTGCTAACCATTCCAAAAAATTTCACATGTTCAATGTAACCTGTAACATTATTAGACAATTCCAGTAACCTGTAACATTACTATACAATTCCAGTAACCTGTAACATTACTACACAATTCCAGTAACCTGTAACATGTTCAAAAACATTGAGCACAACTTTTCTGGACACAAAGCAGCCAACGAAATGAAAACCTAGTTACTTGTTCAGATGATATATCTATACAAAAGCTTTGACTGCTTCAAAAAACAAAAAAACTGATTAAGCTTCAACTACAGCTCATCTGCTATTAACTTGCTAGGACGTGGCCTTCACGTTTCTTCTTTTCAATGCCCTTTCTGTCCTTAACCGCGATGATTCGTCAGCATCAATGCTTTGTGATTCATCAACGATCACATCAAAATTAACTTCGGTTGTAGGAACACTAACACCAACATATGTTGCAGCTGGTGCAGATGTTGTTTGTTTCCCGATATCAATTTGCCTATCTGCTATGGGAGTTGGCATGAATTGCATCCGGTCCAGATTTGGCACTCTGGATGGTAATCCCTTCTTATGTGGCATTCTTTTGGAGACCATGTTTTCCTATACATCAACAAACGTTTCAAATAATTACATAGAAGCTACAATCATATGATGGATGTTTGTAACTAAAAAACTACAACCTGGTATAAAAAAAATGAGAAATGCACCTGTTCATTACCTACTGTATTGGCATATTCGTCTATGGGTTCTAACTTCCCTTGGAACCAATCTTATTACAAGAGATATGAAAATTAACATATTTACACAACAAATTCAGGATGTAAAAAACATATGATATGCTTACATCGACAATAGGAGCATCAGCTCTATCGTGATATCGTTTATTGTGACCCCTAGCTCCGCATGTTGAGCATCTCATTTTCACCAAACCCTTTTTTCGAATGTATGATTTTCCTTGTGAATGCACAACTACATCTTCGTCTGCCCCCTTTCTCCTATTTATCTGCCGCTTTCCCTTTCGTGGGACAGTCCACGAGGGGGGAATTATATCCTTGATTTCACAATGTAGCCATAACCTCATCCCGTTAATGGGGTTCAAGATATTTTCATAACATCTCATATATGTCTCGATTGTGTAGCAGTTGTCAACATAATCTTCTGGTTCGTTCCTGCACTCTCTTATGACAGACACTGCGTTTATGCACGGAATCCCAGTTAGCTCCCATTCTCTACAAGCACATGTTCGTTCTTGAAGATCCACAACGTACGTTCCATAGCTACAATCAACTTGCCATCTAGGCCCGCCAGATAAGTGCAATGTACATTCTCGAGATTTTTCTGCAATCTTGTGAAGTTTTCTTACGATCTTAGGGCACAAATGACCAGTACATCTCATCATATTGTCTCGACGCTTACGAATCCGATTCATGAAGCTTAATTGAATTGAAGTAAGCATCGTAATAATCATCTTCTCCAGATCACTTCGCAATGTCTTGTTGAACACTTCGCAAACATTATTTAAGAGGATGTCGCTCTTCGCATGAAGGGAGAAATGAGACCTACTCCATTCTCGCGGATGCCTTTCCATCAACCATTTGTGTGCATCTTCGTTCAATTGCCTTATTTGCTGCATCCAATGTCGGTAGTCTGGAACAGTTGTCGATTTTGCAGCACGCCATGAGTAATTTTTCAGAATCCTTCCCTTAAACCCTGGATTGAAGAAGTTTGTATACATATGTCGTACACAGAATCTGTGCTCAGCTTCAGGAAACAACTCCTGTGTCACATTATGTAAACCTTTTTGTCTGTCAGTCATCAATGTCCAACCTCTACCATTGTCCATCCCAATGTCATCCGCTAGATACGTCATGAACCATCTCCAAGTGTTCGTGTTCTCTTTTTGAACAACAGCGTATGCAATCGGGTATATGCAATCGTTTGCATCAAGGCCAACGACAGTTAGCAATATTCCTCCAAAACAACCCCGTAGGTGACAACCATCAACTCCAACCAATTCCCTACTACCATACCTAAACCCTGTTTTACAACAACTAAAACAAATGTAGATTCCCTGAAACACCTGTTGCTGCAATGCAATAATCACGGTAGACCCAACATTTGTTCGTAGCACCTCGGCTGCGTAGGACCTCAAAAGCCTAAACTGATCTTGTATAGTCCCTACCAACATCTCTTTAGCATATCTTCTCATCTTCCATGCCACATTCCGACTAATATCCGTTCGAAAATCTTTTTTTACCATAGCCAAAATAAGTTCCGTCTTCCAATTGGGGTCTGCCTTGAATTGTTCAATATACCTTTTCGTTAAAAAAAATGTAATTGCAATGTCTATTAAATTGATCGCGACTACACATATGCTCCGCTGTGTAGGATTTTACCTATATTCGTTCGGAAGAATCAACTGCAGATGCCCATATCCTCCATGCACAGCCTATTTTGCAAGCCCCTTGTACTCTTCTATCCTCGTTTACCCTAAACTTCACATTATATCCATTCATCGCACCATATGTTCTCACTGCCTCTCGGAACTCAACTGTGGAACTAAATAATTGTCCCACCTCAAATTGTGGATTCTTCATACCGGAATCGAAAGAAAATTCAGGAAATCGATGTCCACTCTCATCATCGGATGAGTATTGGGATAATAGCTCCTCCGATGAAGGATATTCCAAATCATCTACTTCAATATCATTACCCTCTATCATTTCATCCTCTACTACCCTTTCACAAACATCCAACCCTACTTCAATCCCATCAGTCACATTTTTCTCATATAATATGCCGTCTTCATCAGATGCAACATCATTATCAGAATCTATAAAATTTGGATCGTCATCATGACCTGTCATGTAATAAGAAAAATGTAAGAAATGAATGTGGAATAACGATAGAATACTGAAAAAACACGTAAATAATACTAAAACAATAATCCACTGAAGAATTGGAACTGAATGTAAGAAATGAATGGAAATCATCTACTGAAGAACTGGAACTGCAGCAATTGCATAAACATAATCAATATCATTCTGAAAATTTTTGGTCTTTCTGTGTTCTAACAATTAAAATTTTAACAAGCAGAATGTAAGAACTGAATGTGGAATGCCGATTCAAGTGACATTGAAAGTGGGAGTTCTCATTGAGTCCACTGTAAAACATCAATTTCCTCATTCAGTGAAGATTACAGTAATATAATCAAACTCAAAGTATGGCTGCAGCTGAATACTGAAAAGTGGAGAAGTATGGCTGCAGCAACATACTGAAAATTTTCACGAATTGCACATGTTCAAAATGCCCATCATCCATTTACCTCCACAACTCAATTTGTAGCAACAAAGAAGCAAAAAACACGTACATTGTGCAAAATTTACCTTCAATTTCATCATCCGTGTGCACATCATCTATTTGCAGCAGGTCCAGAAGTTCGAAATTGCGAAGAGAAAAAATTCGGCTGGGTTGAGTTAACTGCTGTCCGTTTGCACAACCGCCCGCTGAATCAAGGGACAATGAGTTCGGGTGGAGGGGTTGGAAGGATTTGGGGCAACGCTATTGCTTGGATTTCCGACGATTTGGGTGGAGAGATTTGGGGCAAGAACCTAGGGCTTCAAATTGAGGAGGATGAATGGGGTTTCCTATTTGAGTCCAATTTAAGGGCCTGTTTGGGGGGGGGGGGTTTATTCCACGTGTGCAATAGGTTAGGAATTTTAACGGCCAAGTCATCTTCCCGTCGGCCACATTATCAAGTTCACGGACGGAATCCATCCGGTAGGCATTTTAGTGAAACAGATATAAGTTCAATGGCTATTGGGAAGCAACTTAAAGTTCGATGGGTAAGCCGTGACCATGGGTAAAGTTCAGTGGCCACTCAAACAATTAACTTCATGTATTATGTAATACATAATGTTTCATTGGAAAAACTGCAAAGTTAGTCCTCAAATTTTAGAGTTTTTGAAATACTCCAAACTCTACTTGAGCATCCAAATCTGAATCTATACCAAAAAAAAAAATGTGGACAAGGTTCCAGCACCATGCCAAATGTGTCCGATAAATAAAAGCAAAGCAAACGAAGCATACCACCTAAACAACCCCTTAATTGCTACGAAAGACACCATTGGACCGAGTTGATCCTTTTGAACAAAAATCGTCATTTTCGACATTAAAATGGCACGTGCAAGTCATAGGAGTGGAGTGAAGTCGTTGGCGATGTATCACAAGTTGTAGGGGTTGGAGGAAGCCGTTGACTGTTTCTATCCAAAATAAACTACTCTGCCTAAAGTCCCTTAAATTTGGGGATATAAAACTTGGATTTGAACCATGAGAGGAGCTTGTAGTAGGTTCTAAAGTATGAGACTAATGTGCAATTTTCCCTTTTTCCTTCTAAAAAGATGTCCACTATAAGTCTATAAAAATCGCTGCATATTTGATGAAATTTGCTTCAACCCAAAACTCTCAATCATGGCTAAGATCACATTACCAGTATTATTTACACTTTTCATAGGTCTTGCATTATGGTGCTACCTTTCCAATCCTCTCTCTAATCCAGACCCTAAGGAGCCAGGTCTACTGGAAAATTATGATATTGAATGAAAATCAGTTTCATCGTTTATGAAAATCAGTTTCAAATTTTATGGAAATTATTCATCCGTTCTACTTCAACCGTTCCTCTTCAGTTCAGAAATTTACCTTCAATGTCAATTGTATTAATGACCACACTCTTCCTCTATGGGTATAAATAGAGGATCTCTCGGTTGGAAGAAATGCAAGTGTGAGATACAGCTTCAAGCAAAGTGAGACAAGCTTCCAGCAACAAGTTGTTTTTCCTTTCCGGTTTAAAATTTTCCTTTTTCTGAACTCTTTGAAAGATAGAGAAAATCACAGCTAGTTCGTAGGCGGTTAACGTAGTGCAGCGTGAACCGATAACCGATTGTATCCTGGGAATCGAACACTGATCAAAACCTCTTGCACTCCAGTGAGGCGGCGAATTCGATTTAAGGAAACTGTGTAAATACGGGCCTTCGGTATTGGTTTCATTTACTTTGATTCTCTGATTATATATGTTGGAAAATTCGAAATTGGTTGTGACCAATTTAAGAGCTTGTTTAAGTAGATTTTTTTGTTTGGTGAATGAGAAATTAAACCAAATTTAAAATATTTGAAACTGTTGGAAATTGTATAGAATATTGTGGAATATTTTAGAGAATGAGTAGATGAAAAGATGAGTCTTTTCATATGGAAGATCATGACTTTTGGAGATCATGACTTTTAGTGTGAGTAACTTCCAATAATTATGATTCTTAATTTCAAGAGATGTGTCTCTTGGTGTGATTTCCAACTACTATATATATAGATTCTCATGTATTTGGATTTTATGAAAAACAGCAAATAATTCAATTGATAATTTCATATCATCAATTCTATGTTTACAATTTAGTTTTGCATAAAACACTTTGTAAAAGTGATTATTTCTTGTATCAAGATCATGGTTATGATAGAGAGGGAACTCTGTTCGAGTTCGTTGGTGTAAGTCATTTGGAGTGCTCTTATGGCTTGACGTGGCCGTTTTATCTTGGGAGATGATTGTCAAGAAACCGTTAGCACTGATGCGAAGCAAATTCATCTTAAAGACAAAGTGTCAAATACTTGACTCGACCGATCGCATTACTTGCATCTCATCTTTCTTTTTTCGATTTCATTCTAATTTAGTATTTTGATTTCGGAAAGTAACTATATTCTTTTGATTTCAGAATATGGTTAATTTATTTATGTGTTTTATTGCAAGGTTTGAATTAAAGAATGACACGCGTTCAATATTGGAAAGTGATGAGTCCATATTCATATATTCGAAGTCGGTAATTCACTAATTTGTCTTCTCAAATTAGATTTTGATAAGTCGAATGATATTTCGATTTCAAGCATTTTAACAGCATGTTCTTGATAAATATAATATGCATATTATCAGCGTAATATCTCCTACAATATACCCACAAGATCATCATCACCATTTCATCTCCATCAATAGTACCCAAGTAGCTTATCATATTTCATCAGATGGCACTTATTTCCCATGGCGAAAACTCGTCGGCTCTGTCGGGCTAGTGCCTCAGAATGTTGGTTCAGTTCAGAACAAAGTTAGAAGACTTCAGGACTGTATCTGTAGCTGTAGATGTAGTTGTCCTCCCAGATATTGCATATTTTGCTGTGAGCAGAAAAATGGAAAAAGAGACCGATATTGTCGATCATAGCATGTTCGTTAGAGGACTGGTTAGTAAATCACGACAGCGAAAATTTAGTTCAATATGTTGTCGAGTCCTGGCACCGAACATGCACTGGACTGCTACATTTCAGCCATATGAAATGTTATGCTTTAATTTCCTATTTTATGTTTGTATTTCCATTCCGTACGTGACATGGTGTGCAGTGTCCAAGGAAAATAATGTACACCAGTGCTGTGTGTTCTGTGAGAAATGTTTGTCCTCAATTATGAAAAAGCATGTATTGTTTGGCAAATTAAAATGTGATTAACTAACTGAACAAAATTTCAGTACAATTATATGATGTATTATAATTATAGCTCAAGCATAATGGGGCTTGTGAGATGCTTGTTACACTCAACTTCGATTGGATAAGACAATAAAACATTTTGTTATATTCTTGTGATTTAAGAATAATTTGTCATACTCAATAGTATGGCATGATGCATGGGATAATCAATAAAAATTTTGATTTCATTTTTTTCCTTTATCATGTCTAGTACTTATTCCAATTTAATATTTTCGTCACGCGGTCTCTCTCATTTTCTATGTCATTCATAAAGATGTAAACTGGGATGTCTCGTTCATTTTCCGTGAAGTTATTTTGATATGGCTTCAAATTTTTATTTCTCCAAGTCTATATGATGTCAAGTTTGATGATTACGTAGAATATTGTTTGTTTTAATGTAAAAACAGTTTTTAAAATGAATTTCTTTAAACTTCCATAGACGTCTATCAAAGTTTATGAAAATCAATGAAGTCTTTAAAAATGAAAACTTTAAAAGAAATCTAAATAATTCTTTAAGAGTCTGGACTAAATATACACCCATAAAATTACGTAAGAGTGTAAAGTAGGTTGATCTATTTACGTAGTCTTTCTTAGTGTCACTAGATTAGTATAAAAAGGATTTTGCTGTGTACATAGCAAAATCCATAACAATGTCCATAATGGACATATGACACCCTCCACCTGCGTGTCATTTGTCCATTATGGACACCCCTGTGTACATTGATATGTACATATAACAAAACTCATATAAAAATGTAAAAACGAACAGAGATTCATAAACTCGAGCCATGTCACTCTAGAAGGCTTCAAATTGTTATTGATTTCAGAAAACTAATATACCGAATCCATACAGACAGAAACCTGCTAAAGGTGAAGCTTTTTTCTAGATTTCTTAATTCTGACCGCAGGATGACATGACGAGAATCGAGCAAAACTCAAATGTTTACCTTGATTTGTGTCTTACAGCCAAATTTTCCCAATGATGGTTGTTACATGATATAATCTGCAGCAAAGGAGCCATAGATTTTTCTTGTAGTAACTACTAATCCATTATCCTCAAATTCTTTCTTTTCTTGCATATTAAGCATGATCGTTATCATGCTTCGGCTCTTCAGAAGATTTCAGGTACCATCGTTGGAGGCGTTCTGAAGCTAACCTGACCTGCAGGATGATCAAGAATAAAACCAAAGTCATCGAATATTCTCTACTACTAAAATTGGAAAAATTTTGAACATTCTCATAGTTCAGAGAGTTTTTTTTCCCCTAGCAAATTTACCTGTTCGTCCCAATCTGTTTTCCATGCCATGTAGCTAAGTGCAAGAGTCTGAGTGAAAACTCCAATGTTCATTCCGATCCATATACCCTGTGAAACCAGTATCGAAATAAAATTAAGCACAATGACTAGAGGCGTGCAACGTCAATATCAATTTCATATTTGTTGAGGCTCGAACTCTTGATCTGTGATGTGCTCCCAAAATTTGGCCAAAGTCGCATTTTACTAGAACACGTTTTTATGAGTTGGAACGTTTTTTATATGATAGCGGCGCGTGTCCATATCCCGGCCCTTGGTTCTTGGCATTATTGATAGAGAGATATATACACGTACAGTACCATTTCATTTGGTACTGATTCATCTTCTGAGTGCTGGGTTTTCTGAGAGAGAGTTTCTTTCCTTTTTGTTTTGACGTTAGGGTTTTGATCTGTGGTTTTCTTCTATCTTGAAAAACCATACGAAGCTGAGATTAATGCATTTTTAGCCTCTAAAATCTGTATATTTCTGAGTGATTACTATAAAAATAAGGGGTTTCTTATAGTTGTAGATTTCTGAAGGCAAGATAAAGTTTCTTGAGTGATTCTTCGTAGATCTGCAGTTATTGTTGAAGAGATAAGTATTTTGTACTTCTCTCTTGTGTTAGAAGATACAATCTGTAACTTTTGTTGCCATTTTTGGGCTATATAGTGTAACCAAGCGAATAACCAATTAATTGGATTATGTAGGCGTTAGAAGTGGTCGTCGAACCTCTGGGGCTTAGGCTGAAATAAATCTCTTATGTTCAATCTTTATTTTTTGCAAATTCACTTTCTGATCGATTGTGTTTGTGGAATCTTGTTTTAATATCGTTTTTTCTGGGCCTTTTCAATATCTTCGTGATCAAATATCACGGGAATTTATTTTGATTGGTTAAGTTCCTTTTTTTTATTTTTTGGTTCAAACCATCTCTAGGATGGAATACTTGTCTCAAGGGGTAAGTTAATAGAGAGCTGAAAAGTATCCTACAATCTTTACATGCATGACGTACGAACTCAAAAGTTTGTACGTGTTTGATGACAGGTTCATCATCCAATGAAGGTGCATGTCATTCTAGCTTGGATAAAGGAGGGTTGCAGTAGAGGTTGACATGGTAGAATTTTGTCTGATGTGAATCCAAATGAACCCAACTACTAGAGGCAACGTAATAGATGTGCTTGTAAGTTTGATCATTAATGAAGGTATTCTTTGCAGTTGACTAAGTAGATAATTTTGGTGTTACCTCCACTTGAAGATGAGCCACATATCCAAGTAAAGCTCCAACTGGTATTCCGATCAAATAGAAGCTACAAAGGTTGATTATTGCAACTGTGCCTTGCAAACCCGCTCCTACTGACACCCCTGTCACCAAAATCTTCAGAGTTAACGGCGAAAAACATATACAAACAAATTATGGTCTGGACACAGACTTGCGTAGACCTTAAGAATCTCCATTTTACAAAAGCAATTTGATTCCCAAAAAAAAATGTTATAATAGATTAAAAGATGGAGTTGTAGACCTAATTACCAAGGCCTACTGCAGTTTCACTGGATTATTAGTAGATTTAGCGATGCAGAGTGCAAAAAAAAGTTGGATTTGTGGCTTTACTTTGTTGTTTTTCGCGAGTATGGACTACCGACTACCCAATGTGTTGAACCTCCTAAAACTTAGGCTGCTAGAGGGAGACACGCTTATTTGTTTAAATTTAGTCTTAGAGATGCCCCTAGATTCATTTTTTCATTAAAAGCTTGACCCGTGCACAATTTTCATAAATGAGTGGTCGATGAGACTTGATCCCATGATCTATGCTTGCTCTTGTACAACGTTGAAGTACTTCATCTAAAAGCGTAAATTTAGCACTTAACACAAAGAATATGCATATATGAAACATTAAGATCAAGTAAATCAAAGAAAAGAAAATGAAACCACAGGATATGTAATAACTTACCTGAGAGTACTGGATATATGCTATTGAGCAACACAGAGATCGCAAGTAGAAACGAAAGATCCGACACGGTCTTTGCAACTGCCACATCATTTGTGAAAAAGTATCCAAGTTTGTTTCCGAAGATCAAGCAAATAACAGTAAAGAATATGCCAATCACAACCGAAGTAGTTATTAGGACTTTAATAGAAAATTTTGTAGCTTTAGCATCTCCTCTCCCAAGCTCGTTTGCAATTCGCACGCATGCAGCACCAAGAAAGCCGAGGCAAACCATGAATTCCCATCCATTGATGTTAAGGCTGTAAAATCCAAATTAATTGATAGGTCATGGTGCAGAAAAACTGATGGTTGTTTGGTAACTACTAAGGAAAAAAGAAAAGGAAATTAATCTTATTTATTGTAGTGTGTGCTCACCAAATAGAGAAGGCAGATATAGCAACCTCTGCATTACTCATGTATCCGGCCAATAAGACTAGAATAGAATTGTACCACAACTCTAAGCTACAAAGCAAGACAAGAGAAGATATAAGTAAAAATAGTTTTACACCAAAATTATGTATGCATCAGCAAACTTGTTCCATCTCTATCAGTGCAGCAGTGCAATTGTCTTGAAAATCATTTTTGGGTTCATTTAAATTTTTAAGCTTATTACTTGAAAACGTATTCTTTGGCATATAGCTAATAACAAGGGAGACGATTTACCAAACCATAATGCCAGAGGATATTGAGAGCTTTATTACAGGCAATATATCCTTAAAAGCAGCTGTGCTGAATCCCGTCCAAGTTTGAGGGCACCATCCACCAAATATATATGCAAATTCTCCAAACACAACAAACCAGGATGATATGCATAGTGCACCCATCGCCCCATCAACTTCCCAGTTCAAATGGTTAACAAACAGCCAGGACAAGGGAACGTGTATTATAAGTTGCAGAATGGATATCCAGGCAACAAAACTGTTCTTTTGCTGCGCTTGTAGATACATTTGCATTGTCAACGAAAAAACAAAATTGTAGACCATCGGAATAAACCACCACGAGATGTATCCTGCTGATCTGGCAATACTTTCTTCCTGACCGAGTAGTCTAAAGAGGGGCGTTCCAAAGATGAAAATAGGGATCAAGATAGTCGAAGTTATGAAATCGACAATCCATGATCTTTGCAAATAAATGCCCATCATATGGTACTGTCTTGCTCCATATGCTTGTCCACAAAGTGTTTCGGTTGCACTTGACATGCCTATCTGCAGCATGGAAATTAAGACATTTTAAATAAATTATTTTGCACAGCCCAAATCCAAAGTGGTTGAGAGTCTTTCCATCTTCGAATGTGGGAATGGAAAGTTTTCATTTTTCAAGTTCAACATGTAGACATTCAGTTTTAATTTCTCATTCATCCAAATATGGTTTTGAGAAACCAAATATAACACGAACATCTCCTCATAGAGGAGAACGCATATGGCCTCAGAAATAACAAAATCAGTTAATGTGACCAACTTAAATATTTAATAAAAATTGGTCACTTGTGACATAAACTAAACCATTTTTCCAACATTATATGCATCTGTATCTTTATTGAAATGGCAGATTCTTTAGTCTCAGTCTGCTATTACCACCTCTTGCAGACCTTGTAAATTTTCCAAGACTTGCACAGGGGTGATACTTTATCATGTAAGTGCATTGACCTCTGTTTTATCTCAAATTAACCAGCAATATTTGGCAAATTTACGGACAATAAATGAAAGGATAGAACGAGAACTTACCAGTATTCCGTTGATAAATCGGACGCTAAGAGTTTGAACGAGTGCATAACCAGCAAGATCTAATGAATTTATGTGTCCAATAAATGATTGTGTCACTATTATGGTTCCGAATGAAGCCACTCGCGCTATAATTCCAGGCAATGCTACCTTCCATATCTTCTTGGATTCTTCGTAAACCTTCCCTTTCAAATCGCCCACTTCTTTTCCTTCCGAACCAGAACCAAGCAGTCTCTCTTGAATGCCATTATCCATGGCTCTGCAAAGAAAGAGAAATCAAAAACTCATCAAAAAATTTATTCAACAATCCAAAAAAGCCTATTATGTTATATTTCATAAGGATGCACATTTCTTCCATATGCTAAAGTGAAAACTAACTTAAATGCCTCGATTTGAAGTCATAAACAATATAAGTTTAATCGTGAGTAAATTATAATACCAAGACCTTTTTCCAGAAATAAATAAATAAGAGAAAGATCACCACCAACAGGAATAATGGCCCCTATCCAAGGGTTACTCTTTATAGACAGCAGAAATGCAGCCTTTTTCAAGGAGTAAATTTTCTGGAATACTGTGTTTACTGTTGTAAGACTTTTTGGGGGGGTTGTTTGATAAAGTAAAGCTTTTCTTTCAAGATTCTCTGAGCCAATTTTTATCTTGAGCCATAGGGGAATAATTACTACAAAATCATAAAGAAATAAATTAAGGGGGAAATAAGATAAACAAATTTTGATCAAGAATTACAACTGAAAATAGAAAGATAAAAAAAACAATCGGTTTAGTTTACAGTTCTGAGAAAGGCAGAAGGAAAATATTTGAAGATAAATGAACTGTCCAGCAGTACTTCTTGGTCAAACTTGTTGCTGCTATATTCCAAAGTTTAAAGGGTCTTTTGACAAATTCCTGTGCAGGCTAGAATTTTTTATTTTTTTTCACACGAAGACGCACATAATTATTTTCATCAATAGACGTGAACGAGATTTGAGTTCATGATCTCTGTCTAAAAGACTAAATAGTAAGAGAGTGAACAAGAAATCAAATTTGTCTGTCTGAGATCAATAAATAAACAGAAACACACACAGAGGCTTGATTTAATGAAAACAAAAGGCCTATCAAATACATAAAACCAGTTCTAACAGAGAAAATTTTAGCAGACAACCTACATTAGATTATAGAGACATACAGAAGTAATCGCAGAGATGGAACTTTTTACTTGATTGTGTTTCGAGTTTCTAAACAAGAATTACCTCACCCCAAAATCCTCGGGAGTTGACCTAACAGCTCTTTCCGTGCTTCTGTGGCTGCATATGCGATTCTTGAACTCACTGATACTGCGCTCTCTCTCACTCTCTCACTTGCACACGGAGAATTTTGGCATGCGGTAGTTTTAAAAATAATATTAAGATCTGGACCATGTGGACAATAAGTCAATAACAGTAATTATTGAATGCAAGCTCGTGTGTATAGGTGACTTCCCACCTCTTTTTTGACTTCAATCATAAATTGTATGTATCATTGTAAATAACGATTTGGTACTTACGTATGATCTATGTTTGTTACGAAAAATTGAATAACATAAGATCATATTAAAAAAGAAACTTATTTTTATTATTATATTGTTACTTATTAGTCCTTCTTTGATTCTCGTTAATTGAAAAAAAAAATAAGAATTTCAATAGTAATTTTAAGAGAATGTATGATTAAAAAGTATACAAAACTTTTGGATTTATGTGGAAAACATTTTATTGTATAAAAGTATTATTAAAAAAAAAAATTAAGGTCTCGGTTCTCGATTTTCTTGATTGAATCAGTCGGGTCAGTCCGGTTTTTAAAGCACTGGTTAATTGTAATTAACACAAAATCATACATTTTAGGGTTAATTTTAATACTCTCTCTTTCTCTTTGTTATCTTAGACAAAGCAACTGAACAAGTTCTATTGTTTCTCAATTACTTTTAGTTTATAGTTTTAACACGACAAATTTAAAAGGATAAATATTAATAGAATGATTTCCAACAATCTGGAAAAAAATATTATTTAATTTAAGATGTTGTTAATGTACTAGGTTTGTACAACTTTCGATTTAGACATCATGGCACATAACAAAGTTTGTTCTCTCTTTGCACATCACCTAACATATAGGCCTACCATTTATTCCACTTGAAAATAAAATAACATTACAAACACAAACCGATATCATGTGCTGATAATTGAGATACCACATGGACTTACTCGAAAGGCTGTTGTTCGCATAATTAGTTGGCCTTCATGTGATTGAAGTGCACTGCGATTTTATATCAAATCTTAGTTCATATTTTGAGTATTGCTCCTAACGTGGCCATTTTTTCTAATACGTAACATTACTCCAAGCGCAAGTTGTGACACATGTCAGTTTATTTTGAGACGGGAATGAAGTGATACCCGTGTTGGTTTCTTTTGCTACATTTGATTAGATGGACTAATTATGTTCCGCTCTTTATTTTGCTAGATTTAATGAAATTTGCTCGTTCGCTTTTTCAAAAAAAAAAAAAATTGTGTAGGTGGAATAATTTATAAAATTACTTAAAGAAGCTTTAAGAAAAAAAAAATCTCACCAAAACACGCAAAAGAGAAAAAAAGTGGGTAGGTGGAATGAGGAGAGAATGGTTAGGTGAGGTGAGGAGAGGAGGGCAGATGGATTTCGGTTGGTGACAGATCCATCGGCGGCTGTGGAGAAAACATGTACAAGTTATTACATCCATATATTTGTGTGGACTTTTAATTGGAAAAAATAAAAATTGTGACTGGCTGAAAATCCTATCGTAATTGACCTTTTTCTCTGAACCGTGTGTCGAAATTGAATTAAGCCATTTTATCAGATGATTTTGTCCACCTATTTAACAGATATAGCGTTAACAACAAATATAGTGTTAACAACAGTAAATTTATTTAACCACGTATTCTCACGACAAAATATTCTGTACGTAAATTCAAAATTTTTACTAACTTTTAATCAAACATTCTACAAAAAATAATTATTTCAAAAGTCATTTTTTCCCACAAAACTCACTTATTTGGGTTTCTTTTGTCAAAACTCAATTTTAACCATGCATTCACCCATAAAATAATATTAAACATAAATTCAAAAAATTTCTTTATTTTTTAATCATATATTTTTTTAAAAATCACTATTCCAAAATTTATTTTAATGAAAAGTCCAAACAGGGAATGATTATCAAACGAGGTTGATTGGAAAAATAAAAATTGTGTCTGAACTGTGTGTCGGAATTATACCATCGAGGAACAAGAAAACAACTAACCCTTGTCCAACCACTTCACATCAACAAATAAGAATTAGTCAATTCTATAATCCCTGCTTCCTTGAGATTCAGCACTTTTTAGTTTTTTCCCTTGTATATTCAACTCTTCCTAAAATTATCATAATCATCTGTTCATCAACCCCTATTTGATCCATATTTTAAAACTCATCTACCTCCAAACTCATTTTCAGTCACGTTTCATAGGATCCACAACTTTTCAATCACATATTTCTTCAACTTTTATCAATCTAAATTCCTATTTGATTGTGATTTTTTTTCCATTGAACTTGTTTCCAAGTTCTTGGTTTTGGCATGTTTGAAAAACAAAATTTTCTAGGCAAAGTTTTTCCCATGGCTGTTGCCCTCCTTGCGCATATGTTCCTCAAATTTGGGAAATTGCGTTTCCAACCATTTTGGTGGGAGAATGCAATTCCATGTTTTTTTTTTTTTTTTTTTTNTGATTTTCTAGGAAATATATATATATTTTTTACTTTTTTATAATGGAAACAAATTTTATAATCAATTGTAGAAAAAAATTTCAATTTAATAGACAATTTTTATGTAAAACAAAGTCAAACGAACACTAAATTTTGATTAAAAAAATTGATTTTTTAGGATTTTTTTTTTTAACCTTTTGACAATAGAAACAAATTTTATAACCAATTATGAAAAAATTTATCATTTTAATGGACAATTTTCATGTAAAATAAAGTCAAACGAACACAAAAAGATCCAAAATTTTCAAATTTTTCAGGTGGAAAATTATACAAATCAAACCCACTTAATTAACAATTCCCTGGAAAACAAGTTCTAGACAATAATTTTATCTAAAATTCATTTTCTTTCCACCAATGCAATCAAACGGACCCTAATTTTTTATCCAAACCAAACACATGCTCAAACTCGTAGAGCGAAGATGAAATATATAACCAAATAAATTGGAAAAAATAAAAATTGTGACGGGCTGAAAATCCTATCGTAATTGACCTTTTTCTCTGAACCGTGTGTCGAAATTGAATTAAGGGTCTGTTCGGTACAGCTTAAAATCCAATTAAAATTGAAAATATGACCGTTATTGGGTCCCACCCGTCTAATAAAAGTCAACAATAACGGCTATTTTTTCAATTTTAATCCAATTTTAATCTCTACCGAACACGCCCTAAGCCATTTTATCAGATGATTTTGTTCACCTATTTAACAGATATAGCGTTAACAACAAATATAGTGTTAACAACAGTAAATTTATTTAACCAAGTATTCTCACGACAAAATATTCTGTACGTAAATTTAAAATTTTTACTAACTTTTAATCAAACATTCTACAAAAAATCATTATTTCAAAAGTCATTTTTTCCCCACAAAACTCACTTATTTGGGTTTCTTTTGTCAAAACTCAATTTTAACCACGCATTCACCCATAAAATAATATTAAACATAAATTCAAAAAATTTCTTTATTTTTTAATCATATATTTTTTTTTAAATCACTATTCCAAAATTTATTTTAATGAAAAGTCCAAACAGGGAATGATTATCAAACGAGGTTGATTGGAAAAATAAAAAATTGTGTCTGAACTGTGTGTCGGAATTATACCATCGAGGAACAAGAAAACAACTAACCCTTGTCCAACCACTTCACATCAACAAATAAGAATTAGTCAATTCTATAATCCCTGCTTCCTTGAGATTGAGCACTTTTTAGTTTTTTCCCTTGTATATTCAACTCTTCCTAAAATTATCATAATCATCTCTTCATCAACCCCTATTTGATCCATATTTTAAAACTCATCTACCTCCAAACTCATTTTCAGTCATATTTCATTGGATCCACAACTTTTCAATCACATATTTCTTCAACTTTTATCAATCTAAGTGCCTATTTGATTGTGATTTTTTTCCATTGAACTTGTTTCCAAGTTCTTGGTTTTGGCGTGTTTGAACAACAAAATTTTCTAGGCAAAGTTTTTCCCGTGGCTGCTGCCCTCCTCGCGCCTATGTTCCTCAAATTTGGGGAATTGCGTTTCCAATCATTTTGGTAAGAAAATGCAATTCCACGTTTTTTTTTTTTTTTTTTT